ATGGTATAATTGACAATGTGAAATAGGAAGAAAAGGGCTAAAGGTAGAGGGAAAGTGGGAAGGGTAGGGAAAAGGAAATAAGGGAAAAGAAAAAAAATGAGAAAATAAAAGAATGGAAATAAAGTATTTGTAAATAGGGAAGGAAGGAGGGGATGAAAGGAGGGCAGAGGTAAGGGGAAAAATGAGAACCAAGACCTGTTATGTAAAGATACAAGATCCCAGTGATGAATGTAGCTGTACTATATACCTAAAATGTACCAATAAACTCAAGGAGGAAAAAAAAAAAGCTATGCCGAATTGCTTTTCTACTTTAAGTAATCAAGAAGCACATCTTTTTAGCTTGAAATGTCCAGGTTACTATTAGTATCTTCAGCCTAAAAGACTGAATATCTTTTCAGTATAAATTGTTATTTGCAACTTCAGCTACATTCTCTATGTCACAGCCCTTTCTCTCAGTGAAATTGTACCCTCAGTGAATTGTGTGAGGATTAGCTGTTGTAGAGATCAGGCTAGTAGGAGGAAAGTAGAAGAGGTGTAAATGCGTCCTCCTCCCTCTCTGCGAAGGCCAGCAGCTGCCTGTGATTATTTCTACATTGTTCAGCAGTATGCTGCACTACTACAAAGCCTTCTCTTTTCCCAGATGTTAAATTTCTTACTCTGATTTTGAAAATACCAGAAGTGTTGTTCAATAACGTGATTTTTTCATTCTAAAAGTGGCAGACAGGACAGGATGAAACCTATGTCCGGAATTTAAATTTTGTTAGGCTTAACCCCATTATTGAGTCGATCACAGCCAAAAGCACTAGTTTGAGTTGCCCTTTAGCTTTGCCAGAATTCAACTTCAGCCTTGGCAGAGTGCCAGGAGGCCAAACTTTGGCCATCTGCTCTGCTTCTTCACCTTCATCTCTTACCAAATGGTGCACAACAATTTGGTGCATTTCTGTTAAGATTGTTTTAGTAATGGGGGATAAGTTGGGCTTTCAGTTAGCCAAATAAGAAAAGATGAGAGGGTTCAACTTTAATGAGTTTCCACATACCTTAACACTAGTGTAATAAAGAGAACGTGACATGATATAAGGAGCAATGTTCAGAAGGGACTGAAATTTACAGAACAGCAGGGACTGGCTACATGTCCTTTCATTAAATTATAGCAAAAGATCTGGTAACCAGGTGCTATTGTGCTTAGTTTTTAGGTGGAACTCACATCAAGTACCTCAGTAGGGTGTAAGTAGTACATCAAGAGTGTCTGTCTTTAGTACTTAGACTCCTGACACATTGACACAGGAGGAGATAGCGAAAGTAGCAAAAATAGAAAAAAAGCCAGTGATAAAGCAGCTTCATCATATTGTATTTTGGGGGAGCCCCATTGTGCTTGGTCCAAAATTCCTTTCTAGGGTTGGAACTGAAGAGGTGTCTTGGTGATTTATTTTGATTGCTAAACTCAAGGAAGAAGCTCTTTTTTTCTTTTCCTCAGCAGAAAACACCCAAGGACAGGTGTGTGGGTATGAGATTGAATAGAGATTTTATACAGGAACTACAAAGGACCAGTAGGTATATAAAAATGAAAAATGCTCAAAATCTTATAATCAGCAGAGCTTTTTTTTTTTTTTGTATCAGAGATGGAACTCAGGACCTTGGGCTTGTGAGGCAGTCACAGTGCCACTGACCTAAATCCCCAGCCTGACATCACTTATAATCAGGAAAATGTATATTAAACCCATGTAGAACTATCACCTCATACCTGTTTATCTGTTTTTAAAATTATTTAATTTTTATTCATGAAGTTTATTAAGTACATTTTAGGTATACAATATGATCAATCATTGGGAGTTGGTACTTGTACATGATATAATCTTGCTTCCTATTTTTTCCCCATTCCCCTGCCCTCTCTTCAACCCCTCCACCCCTCCATATTTACAAAGACTTTGTTTCTGTTTTTCCCTTTTCTCCTATTTTTTCCTTTCTCGTACTCCCTTTCCGCCCGTTTATCTATTATCAAAATGATGAGAGATAAATTTTGGAGAAGATGTGGAGAAAAGTTAACACTAGCACACTGCTGTTGGGAGTGTAAATTAGTATAGAGCATTGAAAATAGAACTGCCCAGCGATCCCACGACTGGTTATATATACAAAGGATGGGAAGTAAGTATGTTGAGGAGACGTCTGTACTCTCATACTCATTGTAAGGCTATTCTCAGTAGCCAGGATCTGGACTCAGCCTAAGTGTCCACCAGTGGATGAACAGAGATTATGCGGTATATACAAATAGTTCAGTCTTTCTTAGCAGAAGGACATTGTGACGGTTAACTGATTCTGTCAGCTTGAGTAAGAAACACCCAACTCAGCGGGATCAGCACAGTGCTGGGTGTGGCTGAAGGGGTTTACTGAGGACGGAAGACTCACCCTGGGTGTGAGTGGCATCAACCAACGGTTTTGCCGCCTGCACGGAAGAGAAGGGAAACAAAGAAGGAAACTGCTTCTGTTTCTTCTGCTGAGCTCCAGTCTTCTTGGATGTCACCTCCTGGCTTCCTGCACAGACCAGCCTTCCTTCGCAGACCCTGTGGCTTCCTGATGTGGGCTCTCACGGGACACTACAATGAGCCCCAGGCCTGTGCCTGGATTCTTCGGATCTCCAGCATGCAGACAGCTGTTTTGCACTCTCCCACACCTGGCTCTGAGGGTGACCATTGTAAGTCTACTTTTAAATCCTTATATATCTTGTATTAAATCTGTTTCTCTAGTGAGCATGGACTGATACAGGCAACCTTTCATTTGCAAAAATATACATGAACTTCGAGGATAGTATGTTAAGTGCAATAAATTGAGCACAAAAGATATAATTTTTATAAAATATTTGGTTCTGGGAATCGAACCTAGGGCCTGGAGTGTACCAGGGAAGTGCTCTACTACTAAGCTGCACAACCCTTGCCCTTTTTATTTTTGTTTTAGGCAGGGTCTCCCTAAGTTGTCCTTTGACCTCAAGTCTGTGGTCTTACAGCCTCACGTCTCCTAGTAGTTTGGATGATAGGCTGCCACTGTGCTCAGTGTATACTTGGAAACTTAAGAAAAGCTGACTTCATAGAGATAGAGTAGATTTGTTGTTACCATGGGGTTTAGGATGGGATGGGGAGATGTTGGTAGAAGAACACAACATTTCAGTTAGGGAGGAAGAATAAGTTCAAGAGGTGTGTTGCATACATGGTTAGAGTTAAGAATATATTGTGTACTCGAAAATTGCTGAGAGTAGATCTTAAGTGTTCTTAGTACCAAAATGATAAACATGTGGCATAATGCGTATTTAAATAGCTTGACTTAGCCATTTCACATTATATACCTATATCAAAACATGCTGTACCCTATAAATATATGTGTGGAATTTGCACTTTTCACTAAAAAATACATTGCTTTAAAGACCTGGTCCACAGTAGGTATTCGTATGTAAAACACTACCACTCTGTGATGTTTACAGCTTAAGAGTTTCACAAATTATCTTATCGTATACTTGTAATAATTCCTTAATGGAGAGAAAATATTTTCATTTTATGTATGAGGAAACAGTGAAAAAGTGAAGTAAATTAGGTCACATCCAAAATTATAGTGGGAGAGCTAGACTTGATCTAGGTCTTTGAGTTTATATAAAAAAACTCAAAATGTGAAATATGTACACAGCAGAATATTACAGAAATTTTATGTGTGAGCCTAAAGGTAGCATATGCTGTGTCCAGATCAATTTACTCATGGAACTCAGAAAATATTTTGTAAGTTATCTTATTTTCTTTGTGTTATTGACAAGCCATTACTAGGGAATTGAACATGTTTTCAGTATTTCTGTTTCATTCATATACAGCTATGCATTTCTATAGGAAATAAACGTTGTTAAACATTAGAGTCCCAAGAGTAGCCCAAGAATGTACCTAACAGTGTGACATTTTTAGTAGGGTTTCTTACTCTTCCATTAATTGCAAGATTTGCTTACAGATCTCAAGATAGATGCTTCTATCAGAACATTCATTCTGGGTTATAAACAACTGATTAAAAGAAAGATAATTTTGGAATACAATCTGTTTGGAAATTGGATCTGGATAAACAGAGTTTGGATTTGTGGTACAGAAAATAGAAATAAACATAGAAGTCATCTGTAGAAAGGGGAAAATATATATCTTCTGTGGGAAGTTTTGTTAGAAAATGTAAGTGATACAATCAACAAGCATATGATATTTATCAAATTAATAAAACCAAGGAGTTTATAAATCATAAAATTTTGAGGTCAGTTTCTCAACTCTAATATGTAACTTTGTTGTATTTGTAAATACAATATTTCAAAAATATTATACGGAAAGAAAATGAGCAAGAACATATAATGTTTGAAGATCACATCAAACTAATAATGTATTTGGATTATCAGTCTGTGTTGCATAAATTTTTATTTATTTCATACCCTTTTTTGCTGTCATATATATGTATATTTGAAATTTTTATTTAGTATCTTCATTTCTTGTTGTCATGTATGCTTGCAATCTTTAATAAAAAAAAGAAAGGGGAAAATATCTTAAAGGATTAGTGAGGATTGAGTGAAATAATGTATATAAAGTACATGGCAGTGTTTACTTTAAGAAATGCTAGTAGAAGGGCTGGGGATTTGTGCTCAGTGCTGCCAAGCACAAGGTTCTGAGTTTGGTAACCTGGCACCAAAAAGCAACAATACAAAAGAAATGTTAGTAGAGTCTCAAGAAAAAAGATACTTTCTTTTTCTCCACCAGGCCCCCCCCCATCTTGATGTGTTGCTCATGCTGGTCTCAAACTTGTCAGCTTGAGCAGTTCTCCCACCTCAGCCTTCCCAGGGGCTGGAGCTACGGGCTCCTCTCTTCCTTTTTCCTATACAGATGGTCCTTAATGTTTACCAGCACCACTTAATAATATAATCTCGGATATGTACGTTATGCATATGAGGATATTCATGTATATCCTGGCTAGGAAGGAAGGGCTTCACCCTGGCGGTAGACTGCTGCCGCAGCCGGACTGTTGTCAAGCTCTCTCACGGCTCTTGACGGCTCCATCAAATGTTCCACTCACTTTGAGTATGCTGTGAACTCCCAAAAGCGCTGACACCTCCTTTGTCTTTGTTGGCATTCTCAGTCAGAAGAAATGTTCATGTTGTGCTCATGCTATTTTTCTTGCAATTCTTTTTCACCTTTAGGCAAAACAGTGAGCAAACATAATTGTTTGTTGGTATTAGACATTATGGTTTTAAAAATAACATGATTTTTATACAGTTCAACACCTATTTATCACCTATTGTATTTTAGGCACTGTGCTAAAAATATGAGACATTGCAATGAATGAAACCATCAAAAAAGTCATTGATAATTTGTATTCTAAAATAGTTTGCATTTTATATCAATGCTATTTCCTTAAATAATGACTGTAACACCCTCCTGGCTTACATTTTTATTTCTTTCAATACTTTTCAGTTATACGTTAGGTATAAGCAGCTATCCTATCAGTTCATTAGGTTGTCAGGCGGAACTCTAAAAGGTCTGAGATTTTACTGTAATTACAAGCTAACAAGTTAACTTGCAAGAGTGTGAGAAGAAGATACAGGACTTGGGTCAGAGATTTAGGACAGTTAATTACTAACAGCAGTGGTGGTAGCCAGAGTAGCATCATTTGTGCCAACTTTCCGAGCTCCTATTTCCATAGGGGGACCGGAAGAGGACCAAATTTATCTGCACATGCAGTGGGGTTGAGTTACAGGGTAGGAGATTTGGATCTGGGGACCCCAAGTCTTTTACAGCATGTACTTAGCACTGCTGCTCTTTGCTCAGGAGGGAGACTGTTTTTTTTCCTCCCCAAAGGTATTAACAAATCTGCTGTTGGCTTTGGAGGCCGAGTTTATCTTCCAAGTCTATTTGCTATACAAACAAATAGAACATAGGCCTGAACAACAAGAAGGCAGTGCTTCTGCTCACAAGACACACAGAAACAAGAGACAGCCATGAATTGTCTCCCAGCACAAATTCTTTGTTGTTGTATTAAAGGGTGATGAACATGTGCCCTTTATATATATGAACAATTTTCAGAAGGGAGTACATTCTGAAAGCGGCATTTACGTAAATTCTTGAGTCTTGCTGAGTACACAGAATCAAATGGAAAGATAGCAATTACATGTAAAGTAATTAGGCTGTCACTGTCTGGGGATTTAGATTGTTAAAAAAGGTGAAGTAGGGCTGGGGATTTAGCTCAGTGGTTCTGCCACTTGCCTTGCAAGTGCAAGGTCCTGAGTTCAATCCCTTGTACAAACAAAATAAAACAAAAAAACCAAAAAACAAAAACCAAAGAAATGAAAAGATGAAGTAAACATATAATAGTTTGATATTTAAAATGGGTTTTAAAATTTCAATATTAAGCTTATTTCAAAAATTTCTTATACTCTATCCAGCTCCTTAATGAAAAATGAAACCTCAGATACCATATTTATTTTGCAGTTGTACTACTAATATTTTTTACATCAAATAGGAATTGCTTGTTGTTTGATTAGTATTAGTTGTCAATAAACAACTAATGTTCAGACTGGAGACCAATGAAAACAAACCAACAACCAAAAATTACTGTCTGTCTCTTTAAGTTCCTAAGTGTTTTGGAATTGGTTAGACAAAGTTAGGTTGGTTTTAAAATTTAGCTCAGTGACTCAGTCGCAGCTGTTCCAGATAATTGGTCGTGAGCTTTTTATACTATTTGTCTTAGTCTAAGAGAGTGCAGCTTCCTGCTGCTGTTTTTTTCTCTTTGAAATCAAGAATATAAAATACACATACATTAGAAGATTTCCTTAATTGTACATATTTAGGAGTAACAACAAACTATAGTCTTTACAAATAACAATTTTCATATATTTTATTTTAGAAATGTTTTATCTGCATAGATAAAAGTGGTATGCATTCCAAACAAAAATATATTTTAAAAATAAGAAGCACATGCACATTGAATCAATTTAGAAAATTCAGGCATATAAAAGAACTACTGTTTTCTTAGAGGTAATTACATTAATATTTAGTTTGAGGGCCAGGGATTTAGCTCAGTGTTTCGGTGGCCTGCCTTGCAAGTGCAAGGACCCAAGTTCAATCCCCGGTACCAAAAAAAAAAAAAAAAAAAAAAAAAAAAAATTAGTTTGTCTTGACATTGACATTTGATTTATGTTTCTGTAATGGTTAAAATTATTTATTATGACCATGGAGGAAGGCAAAAGATACATGAACAAATTGTTACTAGCCATGATCTGTTGAGAGACAGTTCCCTGAAACACACACACACACACACACACACACACACACACACTCACACACACTCTCTTACACATACCCTGCTACTTCCTTTTTCAAATTAGCATGAACAACACAACAGCAACAAACAAAGTTATGCTCATATTATATCTTGAGTCAAATATATTAGCTGCTTCCATACTGGGTATGGAACACAGAATACTGAGCTACGTACTCAGCCCCCCTCCCCTTTTTAAAAATTAATTTTGAGATAGAGTTTTACTAAGTTGTTCAGGCTGGCATTGGATTTGCAGTCCTCCTGTCTAGCTTTCTGAGTAGCTGGGATTACAGGTGATAATCACAAACATGAGTTAGTGCCTACCTGAATGAGTTACTTGGTATTTATGTGGGCAAATGTTTTTCTCCTGGCCCCTCTTTTTGTAGCCAAACGTAGCAGTCCTTATTGTTATATTGCTTTAAGTCTGACCCTAATTCTCCTGCATGGGGGAAGAACATAACTTTTGTTAACACATGCATGAAAGTTAGTTTCTCCATTCAAATAGTCTCAAGTACTGTATATTTTCTGAAGTACTGTATGATTAACAGGGAAAAATTAACTGATTTTTAATAAGCACATCAGATCCTGTATCTTTGCATGAATATTGTCTCCTTCAAAGTAGTCACCTTTGGAGCTATGAGTTTATTCCAGTTATCCTGACCTTACTGCTGTCATTATTGTAGGGATCAGGCATTAGGCATGGTTGTTTGTTTGTAAGAGAGTAAGGGAGAGAGAGAGTGAATATTATGTGACATACAAACAAGTACCAGTGCCTTGGGATTTTCAGCAGCACCAGTGGAGAAGCCTCACATCTGGGGGCTTTGGTTCCGTCCTGTTATTTAGGGGCTCCCTTCTGAGGCTGGATGGACCTATGGGCTAAACATATGTATGTGTACAGAAGAAGTTGTTTCTCAGAAGTTTTCTCCTGGCATTTCATTAGGAAAATGGAGTTCATACTGTATGAACTCCCAGTTTTCTACTTTCCACTTGATGCTTGCTTGCTTATGTTTAGCTGTATTTGTATTTTGTCGTGAGCATTTGTTGGTCACTTCTTCCAATACAAGTTACTCCTGTCTCAGAATGCTAAGTCTCCTAGTGATACAGTTTAGACAGTAATTTCTCTGGAATAAGACGTAGGGAATGTTAGCAAAGGTGATCTTTTATCACTTCTCTATATCCTTGAATTCATTGCTCCTATCTTTTACTAACCCTTCAATTTCTAGCTATTTTTCTAAGTTTCTAAGTTTTCTGTTTCTGTGTTTCTCTCTTCCTCCCTCCCTCTCTCTCATCCTGTTTCCTTTCTCCCCTCCTTTTCCTTTCTCTTCCCCTAACACACACAAAGACACACTTGCATCTTCATTGGGATATAATTTGCATGTGCTACAGTTCAGTCTTTCAAAGTGTAGAGTTCAATGCTTTTTAATAAGTATATTTTGTGCAGACGTAATCACAGTCTGGTCTTAGGATATTTTTGTTCCCCCTGAAAGAAATTCTGTGCTCATTAGTTCATAATCCTCCCCTTCTTCATGCTGTACAGTAGCCACCACTTTCTGTGGATTTGCCTATTATGTCATATGAATAAAATCGTACAATGTTTTCTTTTGAGACTATTTTCATTTAATATAATGTTTTCAAGGCTCACTGTATTGTAATATATATCAGTACATTTTTAATTGAGGTAAAATATACTTACAATATTTTACTATTTTAATCGTTTTAAAGTGGATAACTCAATGGCAGTACTGCAGATGTGCACTGTCCACTTCCAGAATATTTTTATAACCCCAAAAGGAAACCTTGTATCAGTTAAGTAGTTATTCCCCTTACCTCACCCCTTCTGGCAACACATAATCTCTTGTCTTTATATATTTGTGTATTATGGATAATTCATAGAAATGGACTCATACAGTATGTGGTCTTTGTATCTGTTTTCTTTCACTTAGAATAATGTTGTTAAGATACGTTCATATCACAACATATATAGCACTTTTTTTGAATAGCCAAGTTACTCTGTTGCAAGGATCTGTCTGTCACCTTTTGCTTTTCTAATCGTAGTTAATGGACATTTGAGTCATTTCCACTTTTTGGCATTTGTGAATAATGATACTCTGGATATTTATATACAAATCTGTGTGATTGTTTTTATTTTTCTAGGATATATACTTAAGATTGGAATTACCGAGTCATATGGAATGTGTGTGTGTGTGTGTGTGTGTGTGTGTGTGTGTGTGCGTGCTCTCTCTCCCTCCCTCCCTCTCTTTCACTCTCTCCCCCCCTGCTGTGACAATAGCAGTGAAGACTGGCTGTTTGACACACTTGAACCTTTTAGCCGGAATCTATATCTCGTGTATGTATGTATGTACTGTATCGGTGCATTTCCATTTATTTTGTGATTTATAGACATAAGATGTTACATTAGTCAGTACTTTTTGTTTTGAGTGAAAGAAACTCACTTTAAACTAGCTTCAGGAAAAAGGAAAAAATTTGTGGGCTTACATAACTGGCAAGATCAGGAGGTGACAGACCTGGAGAATCAAAGAGGGTCTTTAGGGCTTTCTCCTTGTTCCTGGTTCTGCAACCTTTTATTTATTGTCTTAAGATTTTTCCTTCCACTTTCTCTGCAACTGGCAAAGACTGCTTGCGTATTTAGACCTCACTGTTCAAATTTAATAATTCCATCACAAATTTATAATACTAACAACAAAAGCAGTAGCAATAATAACAGCAATAATAAGGATTAATGAAATGTGTTTGATGCTTTTGATATGCCAATTACTATGCAGAGTGTTTATATGTTTTACTGTGTTTAATATTTATAAGCTCTGTTTGGAAGGAATTATTTACAGCTACATATTAAGAATGAGGAAGTTAGGATGTAAATCAATTAAGTAACTTGGCTTGGTCATTTTGCTAGTTACTTACAGTCCAGGCTGACTCATATGCCTGCCACGGTGCTGTCCATTCTGCCCAGTATCAATCCAGAGAAGAACTGTTGGGATCTCTGCTTCTATCCTGAGATTAGTCATTCTACAGAAGGAAATAATCTTACCCACTCAACACAGGGCTGGATATCTCCATTGTAGTCTGTCAGACCTGCATGGTATGGAGAAGAGTGTTTCCCTAAAGAAAGTAATCTTGGACATATTTAAACATCCCACATATGTCCACTAAATAAACATTTTGTTGACCATACTGCTTAGCAACAGAGAGTTCCATATGAGAAATCAATAGCTGAGTGGCTGTTAGCCCTGTGAGGGGCTAACACTATTGTCAGTTTTGATTATAGACTAATTATAGTCCTTCTGTTTCTTCACGTGAGATAATTTGCTAGCAGTACATTATTTGAGTGGTTAAACTGTGCAAATCTTAAATTAATAAATCATTTTGGGCAATATCAAAAGTTTAAATCTATGTATTTTTATATCACAAACTATTAATGTACAATATAAGTTATGGGTATATGTGTGTATTCATTATATAATTCTTTCAAAATTTTATTTTTGATATATCAGTGACAAAAATTTTGGGAAAGTGCTATAAATTGAAAACCTCTTTGCTGTATCTCTTTTGTAGAATACCTAGTTACTGGGTCCTGGAAACGCTTTCTACCTAATTTATCTGCTTTGGAGTATAAGTGTATTTTGAAGGCAAGGTCCAATTCTACTGGGTAGTAGAAAAGAAAGGGCCTAGCAGACCGATTATATAAGCCTCAGGGTGCTGGGAGCCAGAGAGATAACTAAGGTATAGAACTAAGGTGTGTATGTTTGTGTGGAGGCCTGTGAGGCCTGACTCAGTCCTCACTGCCTCAGACCGAGGCTGTCCTCCACCTATGCACCAGGCTCAAAAGGAGATAAGTGAATTTGGCAAAGGCATTGGCCTTTGTCTCAGAATGGGATTGTCGCCTTGAACTTGTGGGAACATGTCTGCATCTCTATAGCTGGAAAACTAGAAACGAACAGAAATCTCAGTCTGTAAACTTCCTGCCCTTCAGTATGCTGGGGTTTTTGCTAGGCTGCAAGCTACAAGAGGGTAAGGACTCAGTTTGCTTTGCTCACCACAATTCCCTTAGTGCTCGGCATGGCCTGGCACCATATTTAGCTTCAGCAGACATCTAGTAAATATGTGATTGTTTGACTGAATGATTAAAATTTGTTGATTCTTTCATTTCTGACTTTTGTTCATTTTTCCTGTCTCAGGAATCAGTCCCTGAAAATTCCCTGTTCCACCTCAGAACATCCTTCTTTTATAATGTACTTCTCTTGTTTTTCTGACCTCTAGTGCTCTTTATTTCTCTTCCAAGTAGCTGAGATTATAGGCATGTGCTGCCACGTTTGGCTCTAGAGTTTTAAAAACATGACAGTTTTGCTGTTGTTTACCCTGCTCACCTCTAAGCCCCAAGAGATAGGGTGGTGCTCACATTGGCCACTGCTGTGCCTGGTTCCCAGCCCAGCTGATCCATGGCATCAGTGGGTGGGCGCAGCCTTCTCTGAACTGGGCAAATCAACCCTGTAGTGCATTTGTGCCCTGCTTTCCCATATGTACATTTTAAAAGAAATTTAGTCTATAACCTTAAAAGTCTTAAGTGGAAAGAGTAAAATGAAGCAGGTAAAATAATGACAAGACACTTTTCAGAATATTAGGTTACTTAAAAATATTGAAGTTCAATCCAGAGAAGACTAAGCTTGTTAAAGTAAATAACTGGAATAACCTGAGAGTTTGTCTTTTGTCTTTAAACAAAAAGCAAAACCGAAGGTATTTTAGGTACTTATTTTCACCGCAGTGTGGTCTTGTGTTTACTTGTCTAGGTTTTCCCATAGTTTTCCTCAGTTGTCCATTGACTCCATTAAGCAGTTTCCCCCCATCCGAGTCTTTCTTTCATCTGGTTAGTGTGTGTATATGTATGTATATATATATCAGTACATTTTAGATATACAATACAGT